TCTCACTCTGCTGTCCAGGCTGGAGTGCAATGGCCTGATCTCAGCTCACTGCAAGCTCCACCTCCCGGGTTCATGCCATTCCCCAGCCTCAGCCTCCTGCCTCAGAGTAGCTGGGACTACAGGCACCTGCCACCACGCCCAGCTAATTTTTGTATTTTTAGTAGAGACAAGGTTTCACCATGTTGGCTAGGATGGTCTCGATCTCCTGACCTCATGATCCGCCCGCCTCAGCCTCCCAAAGTGCTGGGATTACAGGCGTGAGCCACCACGCTCAACCTACTTCATTTACTTTAAATTAAGTAGCTACACGTGACCAGTGCCTACATACTGAACAGTGCTGTTCTAGCCCCTGATATGTAAGTCTTACATTTTATGAAGGCTGGGTCCTATTTTTGAAAATAAATCACTTTCCTTTTTATATACTATCTGAACATGTATATAAGACTTACACTGTAGACACCTAATTCTTTCCAAATTTCTCCTTAATTCTGACAGCAAAATCATTTTAAGGATCACGAGGAATACCTACATTTTTATTTAAAAAAAAAAAAAAAAAAGCAGCCAGGTGCAGTGGCTCATACATGTAATCCCAGCACTTTGGGAGGCTGAGATGGAGGGATCACTCAAGCCCAGGAGCTCAAGACCAGCCTGGGCAACATAAAGCCCCATCTCTACAACAAAAATACAAAAAGAGGCTGGGCGTGGTGGCTCACGCATATAATCGCAGCACTTTGGGAGGCCAAGGCAGATGTATCACCTAAGGTCAGGAATTCGAGATCAGTCTGGCCAACATGGTGAAACTATCTCTACTAAAAACACAAAGATTAGCTGGGCATAGTGGCATGCACCTGTAGTCCCAGCTACTCAGGACGCTGAGGCAGGAAAACCGCTTGAACCTGGGAGGCAGAGGTTGCAGTGAGCTGAGATCGCGCCATTGCACTCCAGCCTGGGCGACAGAGCGAGACTCCATTCCATCTCAAAAAAAAAAAAAAACAACAACCAAAAAACCAAAAAAAAAAAAACAAAAAACACAAAAGAAAATTGGCCGGGCATGATGGCTTGCACCTGTAGTCCCAGCTACTTGGGAGGAACATTTGAGCCCCTGAGGCAAAGGTTGCAGTGAGCTATAACTGAATCACTGTACTCCATCCCACCCTAGGCGACACAGTGCGACTCTATCTCAAAATAAAAAAAAGAAAAAGAAAAAAACCACAATTTGATTTTGCTTTCCCTTGAAGATTTTGCTCTCCCTTGTTAAGACTTGTAAGTCACTTAAAAATTCAGAAACTTTATACATTAAAAGTCTGTCTTTGGTTTTACAATAATATTAAACTCAATCACTATGTTTTAATGTAACAATTTCTGTGAACTACAGAATAAAAATGATCTTAAACTAAATCTGTAGGTTTTAAAATTAAGAAACTGCAAATTTCTAGCCATTCATTCAATTAGGTAAGGCTGGCTGACAACACAATATGCAATGTTGTAATCTTCCATCTTTCAGAGGGTTAAAATGACCCCACAACCACAGATTATTATAACAGTATCTTTCTTCAAAATATTTCATATACATCATATACATCTCCTCACCTGGCTTCACGAAAGCTGCATTTAGGTACTTCCTCTTCACCAACTGCTTGATTTAATAGGTGCCTATAAAATCCACTGAGATCTCTCTGCTTGGTTACATCCAAACATGCTAACAAGGGAAAGCAAAAATTAGAATATATTCAATAAGGCACAGTGCAGTTTCATTTTACAGACGTAGAGTATATAACATACAGTGTGTAAACTATTCTCTGGATCAGGATTTGGCAAACTATATCCTACAGGCCAAATTGGGCCTGTTGCCTGTTTTTGTAAATACATTTTTATTGAAACAAAGCCCTGTTCATTTATGTACTGTCCAAAGCTGCTTTTGTACTACAAAAGCAGAGCTGAGTAACTGCGACAGAGATCACACATACAAAAAGCCCTAAAGTATGAATACGATCTGGCATTCATAAATATGAATTTATAAATTTAAAGTCTTAAAATATAAATACTAAAATACTATCTGGTCCTTTATAGAAAGACTGCTGACTGGCACTCTAAACACATAGTACATGCTTAGACAGAATGTTATAGACTTGGTTTTCTTCTGCTTAAAAGCTGAAGAGGCCAGGCGCAGTGGCTCACACCTGTAATCCTAGAACTTTGGGAGGCTAAGGCGGGTGGATCATCTGAGCTCAGGAGTTCAAGACAAACCTGGCCAACATGGTAAAATTCCGTCTCTACTAAAAATATAAAAACTATCCAGGTGTGGTGGTACATGCCTGTAATCCCGGCTACTTGGGAGGCTGAGGCATAAGAATTACTTGAACTCGGGAGGCAGAGGTTGCAGTGAGCCAAGATCACACGACTGCACTTCAGCCTGGGCGACAGAGCGAGACTCTGTCTCAGATAAAAAAAAAAAAAAAAAAAAAAAAAAAAAGGCTGATGAGCATTTGTCAATTAAAGCATTTACAGGGCTGGGCATGGTGGGTCATGCCTGTAATGCCAACACTTTGGGAGGCTGAGGCAGGAAGATTACTTGAGCCCAAGAGTTCGAGACCAGCCCTAGAAACATAGTGAGACCCTGCCTCTACAAAAAATACAAAAATTAACCAGACACAGTGGTATGTTCCTATGGTCCTAGCTACCCAAGAGGCTGAGGTGGGAGGATCACTGGAGCCTGGGAGGTCAGGGCCGCAGTGAGCCATGGCTGAGCCACTGCACTCCAGCCTGGGTGACAGAAACCCAGTCTCAAAAAAAAAAGTATTTTATAAATACATACTCTACTTAGATCTTGAGACATAATCATGAGCAGAAAGCACTAAAGCATTAAGATATTCTTAATTCATCCAATTTTTATTCTTTCTTCAATTAATATTATTCTTTTTCTAATAGCCTCATTGATGCTCCTTGAGTGGTGTTACTCTATTATAATTTTCTCATTCCAGAAAAATGTAACTAGGGTTTAAAATTATATTTATATTGTTTCTGACAAATGCCATGGTGTTATACTTTGTAATAAATGTTTTTACATTTCAAATCATGTTCTAAGGCAAAAGCCACAAAATGAGAACTAAGTCTAGTAGAAATAATAGTTACTGAAGAGTTCAACTGTGTTTTTAAACTTTCCTCTCTGTTTTATAGTACTATATAATACCATATTTCTCGTGTCTTGAATTCCTAAACATAAATTATGATCACAAATTCATAACCCAAAAATTCAGTGACAGAGCAAACAGCTAACCACAGGGTAGAGATTCTGCTACTGTTCCCTTGTGCCTTTCCCACTCTTTCATGTTACCTTCCAGTGCAGCAGCCCTCTTTTCTCTTTCTTCTTCCTCAGCTCTCTCTTGCAGTTTTTTCTTATATGCAGACGTCACAAATGCTTCTTTATCATCAAACTCTCCCTTTTCCATTTCTCGTTCTCTCTGGATTTTCTTTTCCATTCTTTTTTCCTGTTCCTTTTTTCTGATCTCAACAGCTTTTAGCAAGTTGTGAATATACTTGGGCTAAGGAAATAAAAAAGATTTACGAAAAGAGTAAAAAAATAGTAATTGTTAATATTACAATTTTTATAATGAATTCATTAAGATAGAAATGATCGGCCCAAATAAGATTGTCTTCCCTACATTCAATATAAACTTACTAGCAAGATTAATATTGAAACTGTTTTCAATAAAAATTTAGGTGTAGCAGAGATAGAAATTGTTTATAATGTGATTTAACTTTAAAAAAACATCAAACTAAATATAATTTTTTTTCTTTTTTCTGATATTCTCTTAATTAAAAAAAAATCAGAAAAGTTCCTGCTAGTTTTTCACATTTAGTAGAAATATGACTATTTAAAATAGTAGCTTTAATATAATTTTATACCATCACTCTACTAGTAGGTAACTGTCAGATGCAAATGCCCTTAAAATCAGCCTGTGCTTGTGAAAGAACAAGAGTTGATAGAAAGAAAATCTGAACTTATTTCAGTTTTTCCCCCTCCCACATTTTTTTCTCACTGAAAATAAAATCATGATAGGTGCAGGCAGATGATTCAGTTACCAGCTAGGAAGAAATAAAAAAAATGAGAGGATAATAAAACACAAATAAACATACACAGGGCAGGAGCAGTACAAATTTGGTACACTAGAATTCTAAGGAAAAGTTTCCAAAAAACTATTTGCAAAGGTTTCAAAGCAAAAAACAAAATTGTTAGATAATTCACTTGGCCTGTTAGGATAATATACGTAGTACTTCTTGAGTTCTAAGATCAAATCTATAATATCTGGAATTAGGGACTCTTCACACTTCACGTACCTAAAAGCTTTTTCTCAGATCATTCTCATGTTAAAATAAGATTAAAACACAAAATGTAGGTCAAAGTCAAAGAAAGTGTGTTATTTCAGCTAACAAACCTTTCGGTCTTTCCCCAAAAGCAATTTGGGATTATTTTCCTCCTTTTTTTTCTGCATTTCATCATAAATACTGTCATATTCATACACAGTAGCATCTTCTGCAAGGGCCTTCTGGATTTCCAGTTTGGTCTTAAAAAAAAAAATTAAACATGTTTCAAAAATATGAGCCAGCCAATAGATACAACAAAATCTATGTTTTTTGAGAATGGTTCCTAAATTGAAAATATATCATAAAAATTACAATCACATTTCAGATACGAAATATGAATAAATTCTGGAGCCAGGATGCCTGGGTATGAATCCTGGCTCTACACTGACTAATTACTCTGGGCAAGTTTGTTTATAATCTTTTGGTACCTTAATTTCCTCATCTAGAAGAGAAAGAATAATGATTATCTTTACATTCTAAGCTGTTATAATTAAATGACTAAACTTAAAACACTTAGAGCCTGATAAAGAATAAGTATTCAATAAACATCAACTATTATTATCATCTATTCATTTGTATATAATTATCCACATCAAAAGGTCAAAAGGTACGATGGAAACACCTAACCTTGGTTTTGACAGGCCTGTATTATATACTAAACTTTCATTATCATTTTTAGGGTTGTCAAACATAAAGTCTCTGCCTTTATCATGTTCCTTCCATCTTAAATGATGTTTTTTTCTCCTCTTTCAAGCTATCAAAATCTTATTCAGTGTTTAAGGGCCAGTCCTACTTCTTCTTTGAGCCCATTTCTGAGGCCTCTAACCCCCAATGATCTTTCTTCTAAACACTGAGGAACATTCTATTCTGCAATAATTAGCCCTTAATAATACACTATATATATTTTTCTTTTTTTCTTTTAAGAGATGGGGTCTCGCTCTGTCGCCCAGGCTAGAGTGCAGTGGTGCAATCTTGGCTCACTGCAACCTCTGCCTCCCAGGCTTCAAGTGGTCCTCCCACTTCAGCCGCCCAAGTAGCTGGGACTATAGGCGTGTGCCACCATGCCTGGCTAATTTTTATATGTTTTGTAGAGACAGAGTTTCACCATGTTGCTCAGGCTGGTCTTGAACTCCTGGGCTCAAATGATCCACCTACCTCAGCGCCCCTACAAAGTGCTGGGATTACACGCCTGAGTCACCATGCCAGGCATGGGTGTTTTTACTTCCTGTTTTACAAATCTTAGCCTTTTGCTCCCAGTTGTAAATTCCTGACGTACAGAGTCTATACACTTTAACTTTTTCCTGAATTGCTAGATTGGCTAATGTAGAACCCAAGAGGGATCCTTTTTAAGTGACAGGATGATGTAATTATTCAAAAGAATCTATCTGATAGACTCGGGTTTTTACATACCAACATTTAAACTGTGAATAATGCACATGCTAACTGAAAAACCTTTTTTCTAGAATATTGTTTAAAATATTAAGAAATTCATTTTTTTCACTTCTCAACCTTTAGAAAGTGAAAGATTCTCCTGCCTAGATGTTGAAATGGCACTCCTGCTCACTCCCCAAAACCAGCCTGGATAACACAGAGGCAAACATGGAATCTAAGAAATAATCACCACTACAATAACAAAAAGCAAGGGAAAAGGGAGACTGAGGGCTGTTTTTTTTTTGAGACGAAGTCTCTCACTGTTGCCCCGGCTGGTGTGCAGTGGCGCCATCTTGGCTCGCTGCAACCTCCGCCTCCCGGGTTCAAGCAATTCCCCTGCCTCAGCCTCCAGAGTAGCTAGGATTACAGGTACGTGCCACCACACCTGGCTAATTTTTTGTATTTTTAGTAGACACGGGGTTTCACTATGTTGGTCAAGCTGTTCTCGAACTCCTGACCTCATGATCTACCCACTTCGGCCTCCTGAAGTGCCGGGATTACATGCGTGAGCCACTGAGCCCGGCCAGGGCTGTTTTAAACTGATGACATGCCTTTGTATATGTTGGGAGGAGAGCTGTAGGGGAGCACTTGAGTAGGTATGTTACTATTAACTATGTTGCAACATAAATAAAGCAAAAACTGAACAGATATCCAAGGAAAAATAGACAAATCCACAATCACAGCAAGAGATTTTAACATATGCCTCTCAGTAACAGAATGGACAAAAAAAAAAAAAACCCACAAAACAAAAAAACCAACCAACCAACAAACAACAACAACAAAAACACAGTATGAATATATATGGATTAACACAACTGGCCCAATGGCACATACAGAACATTTTCTCTTTTCTTTTTTTGGGGGGGGTTCAGAATCTTGCTCTGTCGCCTAGGCTGGAGTGCAGTGGCACCATCTTGACTCACCGCAACCTCCACCTCCTGTGTTCAAGTGACTCTCCTGCCTCAGCCTCCTGAGTAGCTGGGACTACAGGTGCACACACCACCAGGCCCGGCTAATTTTTATATCAATACAGAACATCTTCAAACACAGAAGAAATATTTATAAAAACTGACTATATACTGGACCATAAAGTAAACCTCTACCTGTTTTAAAGGCATGAAACAATACAGTGCAGTGTCTTGGAACCCAAAATAATCATGTTAGGGACTCGGTGTGGTGGCTCATGCCTGTAATCCCAACACTTTGGGGGGCCAAGGTGGGCGGATCACCTGAGATCAGGAGACCAGCCTGGCCAACACGGTGAAACCCTGTCTCTACTAAAAATATAAAAATTAGCCGGGCATGGTGGTGCACACCTGTAATTCCAGCTATAAGGAGGCTGAGGCAGAAGAATCATTTGAATCCAGGAGGTGGAGGTTGCAGTGAGCCACTGCACTCCAGCCTACGTACAGAGCGAGACTCCATCTCAAAAACAAAAACAAAAACAAAAACAAAACAAAACAAAAAAACCCCAAAAACAAACAAGCAAAAAAACAAAGTAATCACATCAGGAATAAATAACAAAAAGGTAATCAAAAACCTCCGTTATGTTCAGAAATTAATAATACATGGGTCAAACCAGAAATCATAATGCAAATCAGAAAATGTTTTGCATGAAACAACAAAAATATTGCCTATCAAAATCTATAAGACACAGCTACAGAAGTACTTAGAGGGAAACATATAGCATTAAATGCATATATCAGAAAAGAGAAAGAACAGAAAACAGAGAGCTATGCACCCATCTCAAACAGTTAGAAAAATAACAAAATAAACCCAAAGAAAATAGAATGAAGAAAACACTAATCTGTCAGGACAGAAAATGAAGTAGAAACGAACAAAATGTACACAGTATTGTATTAGCTCATAGTATAAGGCTCGCCAAACCTTGGTATTATCAGACTTTTTCAGTGTGGGTAATTATAGTGAAAGAAAAGGAAAACTACCCTATTCTGCCCAGTCTCACTTATGATGCAAAAATCTTCAATACTTAAAAACTCTCAAAAACTTCAGTAAGCCAAATGCAACAATATAAGAAAAGGATAACATTTTATGCTCATGTTAGGTTTATGCCACTTATGTGAAGTCACAGCAATTGATTTTCTAAAGTTAAGCTGACTTCACATTATTGGTATAAAACCAACATGGTCATGAAGTAGTATTCTTTCTGTATATAGTTTACCATTTAAACAAATAAACAACAAAACCCTCAAACTAAGAAAACAATTTCCTTAGATTAGCATCAAATATCTACCAGAGACCTACAGCAAATGTTTTATTTCCTGATGACATACTGAAAGTTTTCCCAATGAAATAGGGAATACGACAATAATGTTGCCATCATCGGTTCTGTAAACTTGAGGTTCTGATAAAAGAAGAAAAAAATCATTTAAAGTACGCCATTTTAAAGAGCACTTTCTCTAAGATTCAGTAAATGCAATCAAGCTAGTATTCTTCATAGTAAAATGAAAAATAGCTTCAACTGGTATGGATAAAGAATCAACCAAGTGAGGAACAAATGGAAGAGTATGTAATATACATGTGAGAAAAAAAAAACAGCAGAAAGCAGGTGAAAGGTATAACAGTTGTAGCAGCATTCCTAATTTCCAAGCAAACTATGAAAAAGTCCCACTAAACAGATAAAGTGTCTTGAACAAGACAGAGTTAAGAATAAAATTAGATTTGGGATTCATGCTTTAAGTGAAGAAAAAAAGGCAGCATAAAAATGTTAAAATAATCCTGGAAAACAAGATACCTGTATTATCGTGGATAAGTTACCCAACTCTCCAGAACTAAGTCTCCCATTTACATAGTGAGGAAGTTGAATTTAATGGTCTCTTCAAAATTCTGACTCAAAGCACTACAGTGTTTATATTAAATGATCAGTTTTTTAATGTTTTATGTGTATATTAAATCATTCTGAGGCTGCTGAGTTACATATTATATTTCACTGTGAAACTCTTGACATTATCTTAAAATGACTAAATATATCCTTCTGTGCTAATTCCTCCAGGAGGGTGTGAAACACAGTGGTTAAAAGCTTAGGTTCTGAAGTTTCACTGTCTAGTTCTGAACACAGCTCTACCATTTATTAACTATGTGGTCTCATGCAAATCACATAAATTCTTCTTGCTTTCATTTCCTTAACTACAAAATAAGGATTATAAAAGCGTAATTATTGTAAGAATTAAAGATCATTCTTAAAACATAGTTGACATGATGCCTGGCACATACAAAGTGCTTAATAAACTCACCTTTATGCAGGTTTCCAGTTAGACAAAGAGGAAATAGTATCAAAAATTATAAAGCTAATGTGGAGGATAAATAATTTAAAATGAAAAAGAAAGGCACCTTGCTATTGTTTAATTTCATTACATTCTATAGCAGAAAATCTAAGATATACTAGTATAGAAGTAGAAAAATTAGTAAGTCTTCAGGCCTAGTTTGATATTTAGTAGTATGATCTTAAGGAGCACTGTATTCTTTCTGAGTTTCGGATTTCTTAATCAGGACTATGGGCAAGTTTGTGAGAATTGTAAAAGATAAATGTATGTAAAAAGTACTTGGAAACACTAAGGTACTAGCAAGTCTTTTAAAATTATCAGGCCAGACACGGTGGCTCACGCCTGTAATCCCAGCATTTGGGAGGCTGAGGTGGGCGGATCACCTGAGGTCAGGGGTTTCAGAACAGCCTGATCAATATGGTGAAACCCCATCTCTACTAAAAACACAAAAATTAGCTGGGCGTGGTGGTATGCGCCTTTAGTCCCAGCTACTTGGGAGGCTGAGACAGGAGAACTGTTTGAACCCAGGAGACGGAGACTGCAGTGAGCCGAGAGTGTACCACGGCACTCCAGCCTGGGCAACAGAGCAAGACTCCATCTCAAAAATAAATAAATCAATAAATCTCTATGTCTATATATTTTTATCTATCTCTGATATTCTTCTTTCTTGGCAGATGAGTTTCAAATAATGATAAGTTTGTGAAACCATTTTGATTGTGAAAAGGTTTTTTTCCCCAAGTAAGCTCACTAGCAAGAATTCAATAGTAACAACAGGCCAAACAATCCACTATTAGACTAATGAGTCATCTACAAGCAGAACTGGTTTAATCTATAGCACAGCAATAAGGAGCTAATTCTTCATTGTGTTTTTCCTTAAATCTACTCTGTTTTAGTCTCAGCACCTAGATACCAAAACTGATGCTTAAAAATGAGCCAAAATGCTTCACTGAATGCACTTATCCCAGTCTTCTACCTTACCTGTTTCATGGCCTGCTTCTTAGCAGCTTCCCTCTGAAGGCTTTCACTCACGGAGGTCTATCAAACAGAAATATATTATCACTTTTTAAAAAAATTTAAAATTTCTTTTCCAGTACGAGTGTCCCCTGTCTAAAATACGTGGGACCAGAAATGCTTTGTATTTCAGATTTTTAAAATACTCAGTGGTTCAGCATCCCAAATCTGAAAATCTGATAACTGATGCTCCAATGAGCATTTCCTCTGAGCTTCACATTAGTGCTCAAAAAAGTTTTAGATTTTAGAACATTTAGGATTTTCGATTTTCATATTTGGGATGCTCAACCTGTTTTCTGGCTGGCAATGGTGCCTTACTTATAGCTAAAAGTAAAAAGATAATAATATGAATTAAACTAACATTTTCAGGTGCCCACTTATAGCTAAAAGTAAAAAGATAATAATACGAATTAAACTAACATTTTCAGGGTTTCTCCCCTAAACTTCAGGAAATAAATGAATTTGCATTGTAAATCCTCAGAATAGATTATAAGGTGTCAGAGAAAATAGAATGGTACAGGAAAAAATGAGGAAACATGAATTTTTAATCCTAACCTCACTACTGTCATTCAACCTTTATGGATTTCAATTTGCTTCATGTGAACATGAAAGACAGAGAGAGAGAGAGTGTGTGTGTGTGTGTTTGAGTATGTGAAATGGGGAAAGACTGGACTAGATAATATTTCAGGTACCTTCCAACACTAAAATGGTATGATTCCCAGCTTACAAAAAGCAAATTATTTTAACATTCACCACTCAATATAGTGTATCAAGCTCTTGGTTTATGCTTAAAGCTTAGGGACAGCAGTAACTATTCGTGGCTATAATCATTCAAAAACTATGTACTGAAAAGCCTTCCATACCAGGCATATTTAGGTCCTGAGGATAGTGAAAAAGCAAGAACAGTCTCTGTCTTAAGGCCAGAGACTGAAACAAGATCTTGCTTCAGATAAATGGTCTGAAAGGGAAGACAATTAAAGAGATAATTATAATATATGGACAGGCACGGTGGCTCATGCCTGTAATCCCAGCACTTTGGGAGGCTGGGGCGGGCGGATCACTTAAGGCCAGGAGTTTGAGACCAGTCTGGCCAACACGTTGAAACCCTATCTCTACTAAAAATACAAAAATGAGCCGGGAGTGTTGGAGTACACTTGTAATCCCAGCTACTTGGAAGGTTGAGACATGAGAATCACTTGAACCGGGAGGCAGACGTTGCAGTGAGCCGAGATTGTGCCACCGCACTCCAGCCTGGGCAACAGAACCAGGCTCCATCTCAAAAAAAAAAAAAAGGGGGGGGAATTACAATATAAATGTGATAAGCAATATAATAAAGGAATAAACAAAGGGCTGGGAAGCCCAGGGCAGAGAAGGCAACTAGATGTATATGAAGAATCAGGAATCCCTTTCCAAAAGAGATATGACATTAGATGAGAATCAAAGAGAATAAAAATGTAAAAGAATGCAAGAGGAAGACAGGAAGTAGTCATCACATGGGCAAAAGTAAAGATTACATACAGCTAAGAAAAAAAAAAATACTTAAGAAAAGTATGTTTCCTTAAAAGTATCAGGCTTTAATCATCAGGGAAATGTAAATCAGAACCACTGTAAGATAACACTTCAGACCTGTTAGAATAGCTATTATAAAAAAGTCAGAAAATAACAAAGGTTAGCATGGTGTCAGAAAAGGGAATTCTTGTATACTGCTGGTGCAGATGTAGGCTGGTACAGTCAATATGGAAAACAGTATGGAGGTTTATAAACAAATTAAAAATAGAACTACCATACAGCCTAGCAGTCCCTCTTGGCATATAGCCAAAGGAAATGAAGCCACCACCTGGTAAAGGTATCATGTTCACTCCCATGTTCACTGCAGCATTATTTGCAATAGCCAGGTATGGAAACAACCTAAGTGTTCATTGACGAATGGATAAAGAAACTGTGGTACATATGTATGATGGAGTATTATTCAGCCTTTAAAAAGGAGATCCTGCCATTTGCACAACATGAATGAACCTGGAGGACATTATGCTACATGGTAAGCCAAATACAAAAAGAAAAAAAGTACCTAACATCACTTGTAAGTGGAATCTCTGAGAGATAAAGAACTTAAAAACAATGGTTACTAGGGGTGGGGTGGGAGGAAATGGGGAGAGGCAGGGATGTAACAAGATGAACAAGTCTAGAGATCTAACGTACCACATGAGGACAATACGTAATAAAATTGTACTATATATGGTATTCATGCTAATTGAGTAAATTGTAGCTGCTCTTGCCACAGAAACAAAAAAAGTATGTAAGATAATGGATATGTTAATTTGCTTTACTGTAGTAACCTTTTTACCATCTATATCCCATAACATTGTTATATACCTTAAATATGCACAATAAAAATTTTTTTAAAGTATCAGGATTTGCAAATATACTGACACTGAACTGTATAAAGGGTGAATTTTATGCTATGTGAATTACATCTTTTTATGGCTAGGGCTACATGGGTTATCCCTGTCCGTCTCAATTTTGCTGTCTAAAACTGCTGTTTAAAAAAAAATGAAGTCTTAAATATAGATAAAAACATGTCTAAGTAACATATATATTAAACATATATATGTTTAAACATATTAACATATATATGTTTAAATATAATCCTCAGCTCTAGAATTATAGTAGTCTAGTTTATTAACACTTGCTATCTTCAGTTGTATTGTATCAGCAATTGGTGCTTTTTTTTTTCATAGTAATAACCAGAACAAAATAGTTCTCTATGACCACAGACAAATAAATTTAATACACAAAGGTCTTACAATATAGTACATATTTAATAAATTAAATAAGTATGCAAAGAACTAAAGACATTTTAGGTGATGGTAAACTGACTAATTGGGGGAAAGATGTTGATAACAAAAGCAGTAACAGCTGCTAACATGTATTGAGCTAGGTGCTATGCTAAGTACACTAGCTGTGTATTACATGTATTACTCATTTAATGCAAATTTCTGTTACATGTAATATGACACTTTCATTCATTAGAATATCAATTTTAAATACTAAAACTGAAAGTAACAGTAAATATTTTCAATGTATTTTCATGTCTGTATTTCTAATTAGTATGAATGAAAAATGTTTTTCTTGACCACTGAGTTGATGTCTTCAGGACTGACTGAGAATACATCTCCAAATGCTGGATGTTTTCCTCTTTTACTTGCTTTTATTAGTTTTTCCTATCTCCTCCTTCAGTCTATCACCTTTAATCTGTCAGAGTTTACCTGCTGCCTTTCAAACTGGATGCTTCAATCTAAACTATGTAACTTGGTTATTATAGAGGATACTCAGAGAAATAAAATAACTTTCAAAAAGAAAACTTGGGAAAGAAAAACACAAGGCTATACCTTTTCAGATTTTTATAAAGTATAGAATAAACAGACTGGGAAAGGCCTTTCCAATGTAATCTGTATCTATTTTGAGATATCTCAAAAGATTTTGTTTCTATGTTTACAGCTGTTTAGAAGAATGAAATATGACTGTTGAAAAAACAAGCTATTACTACTTACACAGGAAGGTAACATAATGGAAGGAGTGCAATAGTTTTACATATTCTATTCACAAACTTATATCCCTAGAATTCAACAGCATCAGTGGATAACTCTGAACCTAACCTGAAAAAGTCAGGAAAGATTGACGATCTTCTTCTGAAGGTCATTTGATTCTCAATTTTCTAAATAAAGGTACTTTAACAATGAATGACTACTAAGGATGATGATTAAAATGCCAAAAACCTGTTTAAACAAATACAAAAAGCTTAAAAGAGTAGCAGTAAAACTTACTTTTTTCTATAATAGTAACCCTACATAAAAATACATAAAATGATCTTCTATATAACATAAAAAACTCATCTAGATTCAGATCAGACAGAAAAATAACTAGTACAATTAAAGGCAAAATCAGTAAGATCTTTTTTTTTTTTCTTTGAGATGGAGTCTTGCTCTGCGGCCCAGGCTGGAGTGCAATGGCGCAATCTCGGCTCACTGCAACCTCCGCCTCCCGGGTTCAAGTGATTTTCCTGTTTCAGTCTCCTGAGTAGCTGGGATTACAGGTGCGCACCACCATGCCCAGCTAATTTTTGTATTTTTAGTAAAGACAGGTTTCACCATACTGGTCAGGGTGGTCTCAAACTCCTGACCTCATGATCCGCCGGCCTCGGCCTCCCAAAGTGCTGGGATTACAGGCGTGAGCCACTGTGCCTGGCCAGATCTTATGTTTTTAAAGGTCAAGTCTTTTTACATTTTTAGAGGTATCCCTAAAATACTAATACAGTATACATACACAACAGAATAGTATTTGGCCATAAAAAGAATGAAACCATGTCATTTACAGCAACATGGAAGGAACTTGAGGTCATTATCTTAAGTAAAATAAGGCACACACAAAAAGATAAACATCATATGTTCTCAACTGCATGTGGGAGCTAAAATAAATTTGATCACACGGAGGTAGGGTGAAAAGGTAGATAACAGAGACTGAGAAGGGTAAGTGAGGGAAGTGGGGAGGATGAAGAGAAGCTGGTTAAAGGGTACAAACATACAGTAAGATAGAAGGAATATATTCAGTGTTTGACAGAAGAGTAAGGTGACTACCCTTTTTGTTTGTTTGAGATGGAGTCTTGCTCTGCTGCCCAGGCTGGAGTGCAGTAGTATGATTTCAGTTCACTGAAACCTCTGCCTCCCGGGTTCAAGCAATTCTCCTGCCTCAGCCTCCCGAGTAGCTGGGATTACAAGGGCGCACCACCACGCCTGGCTAATTTTTTTGTATTTTTAGTAGAGATGGGGTTCCACCATGATGGCTAGGCTGGTCTCAAACTCCTGGCCTCAAGTGATCTGCCTATCTCGGCCTCCCAAAGTGTTGGGATTACAGGCATGAGCCACTGCGCCCAGCCAGGGTGACTATACTTAACAGAAACGTATTGTACTTGGGTAACAAACACGAATTGCCGACTTGATCCCTAAACATTATATACATGTAACAAAATCTCACAGGTACCCCATAAACTTGTATAAAATTTTTAAAAATACTAACACAAATTTTAAGACAACTTTTAAATCATAAATCAGGGAAGGGTTGATCTTACTGAACTCAGCAAGAGAAGAAATAGATTTCACGTGTGTCCTATGAATAAAACAAAATTTAAATATAACTGCAAAGATTATTAATCTCTAACTTCAGAGTTCCTATACTGTATAGCATAAGGAGGACGTACAGAATAACGTTCACAAGCGGAGGCTCAGAAACAGTCTACAACTGTTCTCTCTCTTGCTAGCTTGTTATTCTAGGTGTGCTAATTTCTTCCTGTTTCAGTTTCCTCATCTATATATTAGTACCTACCTCACAAAGGTTAGCTACCATTTTTGTTATTATTACATTTCTGTTTAAAAATATATGGCTGAAGAAACGCTTATATTTAAACAAATCAAAATTAAGTTATGAGAACACAGTAGCTATACTTTTTTTTTTCCCTTGGAGTATTACAGTTAAAATTATTCACCAGAAAAGCATGCAAACAATATTCCTCTTCATAGTACATTTATCAGTGTGCTTAATAAAATGTAAGGTTGGTATTTATTTGAAGTGACATTAATATAATTATATTTCCATTTACTGAATTAGAAAAATCTATTCTGCTGAATATTTAAAAGGCTGTATATGTTTTCTTTTGTGTTAAGATTCTTTAAGGTTTTATGTTCAGTATGTCCATAAACAGGAAAATGTAGGATGCACATATTTGAATACTTAATTAACCATGGGAGCTGTAGCATAACTAGAAATGGGTTTTCTAGAATTGATAGTGGCTTTACTAGGAACTATTCATAAACAAAAATACACTGCCCCCAAACCTGAGTAGGTTAGAGAGTATTCTCCTTTGAGGGTATCCTCTGCTGTGCTGCTATAATCAAATGGCAAGATACCAAGGACACGCCAAATGAACAGACATTTGTTTTTAATAATTGCCCCAGTTTGGGGTGAGAAGGGGAAGTACTTGTTTAAAAAAGCGTATTTTTAAACTTCAAAGAAATGTACAGTTAAGTACCGCGTACCCTTTACCTAACCTCTCCCAATGTTAGTAAGTTGCATAGAGTACAATATCAACACCAGTGAACTGACACTGGTACATACACACTGCTTATTCAGATTTCACCATTTTTATACATACACATCTGTGCGTGTATGTGTGTAGTCCCATGCCATTTTATAACACATAGCTTCATGTAACTACCACCACAATCAAGACACTTAATTGTACCAGTCACCACAATACTCCTTTGCACTACTCCTTTATAAGCCGTACTCATCCTCCTCCGTCTCTAATCCCTGGCAACCATTATCTCTGTGTCTGACGAATGTTAAATAAATTGAATTATGCAGTATATCCTTTTGAGATTGGATCTTTTCTATCAGCATTATTTTCAAGGATATTTTGTATTTTGTTTAGTATAAACATTGCAAAAACATTTCGTTCTTGCCACAAAATATCTTAGCTTACAAGTTATCTAGGGAAAAACAGCTGTTTAAAAAAAGATGAAGGCTGAATGTGACCAAACCACACAATACAGTCATTAATTGACTCATTTCAGAATTAGTAGGTAGACAATTATTCTAATTCTATGCCTGAGGACCAGTTTGCAGTGTAACACAGGAGAATATTCATTAAAAGTGGCTTCTTTTTTCTTTTTTTTGAGACAGGGTCCTGCTCTGTTGTCCAGGCTGGAGTGCAGTGGCATGATCACAGTTCACTGCAGCCTCAACTTCCCGGGCTCAAGCAATCCTCCTGCCTCAGCTTCTGGAGTAGCTGGGACTACAGATGTATGTCACCACATCCAGCTAATTTTTTAATTTTTTTGTAGAGACAGGGTCTTACTTTGTTGCCCAGGCTGGTCTCAAACCCCCGGGCTCAAGCAATCCTCCCGCCTTTGCCTCCCAAAGTGCTGGGATTACAGGCATAAGCCACCATGCTCAGCCAATGGTGCCTTCTAATAAAATCATTAGTTTTAAATTTAGGGAGACAAAATTTACTTCCTATAAGGGACTTTATCTCAAAGGAAAAAAAAATCAACTTATAAACAAACAGGTTCAAATGCAAACATTAGAACTTTCGTAAAAGTACAAAAAACACACTAATATTTCAAGATAGGTTCTTCATCAAAATCTCAGGAAAATACCTTTCCAAAACTCTGAAGTAGCAGCTCCTTCCAAATGTTTAAAGTTAATTCAGTAAACATGCTGAGAGCCTAACATGTGGACAGCACTTAGACTAGGTGCTACAAAAAGATTACAATCTAGTGGGAAAGGAGCCATATTTGGTCAACATTTAAATTTATGTCTAAGAGTTAGTAGGTTCCAGTTAGCTTTAATTCCAAATAAGAAAGGAACCCACAAAAAAAGGGAAGAAAGTGGCTGGTCTATTTTACAAACAAAATTAACATAAACAATACTTCGCACACATGCACGCACACACACATACATATTATAAGGGTTAAAAATGTGGTCACTGGCCGGGTGCAGTGGCTCATGCCTGTAATCCCAGCACTTTGGGAGGTGGAGGTGGGCAGATCACCTGAGGTCAAGAGTTCAAGACCAGCCTTGCCAACATGGTGAAACCTCGTCTCTACTAAAAATAAAAAAAAAGTTAGTTGGGAATGGTGGCGCGCGCCTGTAGTCCCAGCTACTCGGGGAGGCTGAGGCAGAACTGCTTGAACCCAGGAGGTGGAGGTTGCAGTGAGTGGAGATCGCGCCACTGCACTCTAGCCTGAGTGACAGAGGGAGACTCTATCTCAAAAACCAAACCAAACCAAACAAAAAAAACAAAAAGTGGTCAAAGTATAGGCACCATAAACTGCAGAATTAAGAAAAACACTGCAACTAGATTTCTTAGTTTTCTTCTCCCTCCATTGTTCTGTGTAGAGAATAAAAATTAGTTAATCAATCTAATACTTGCTTCATTTTGAATAGCAGTCAGATATGACCTAAAAGGGAGACTTACAAAAAATCAAAAAACCTTTACAGTTAGCTCAGATAAATCGAAGAGAAAATAAAAGACTATGGACCTTTGTTGTGTCACTATACAATTTTAAATCGATTACCTCCTGGGCGGTAGTAACCATCAGAAAAGAATCAGGGCTGGGCACAGTGGCTCACGCCTGTAATCCCAGCACTTTGGGAGGCTGAGGAGGGTGGACTGCTTAAGCTCAGGAGTTCGAGACCAGGCTGGCTGTGAAACCCCGTTTCTACTAAAAATACAAAAAAAATTTGCATTTCTCTGATGGCCAGTGATGATGAGCATTTTTTCATGTGTCTGTTGGCTGTATGAATGTCTTCTTTTGAGAAATATCTGTTCATATCCTTTACCCACTTTTTGATGGGGTTGTTTTTTTCTTGTAAATTTGTTTGAGTTCTTTGTAGGTTCTGGATATTATTAGCCCTTTGTCTGATGAGTAGATTGCAAAAATTTTCTCCCATTCTGTAGGTTGCCTGTTCACTCTGATGGTAGTTTCTTTTGCTGTGCAGAAGCTCTTTAGTTTAATTAGATCCCATTTGTCAATTTTGGCTTTTGTTGCCAAAGAGATACCATCTCACACCAGTTAGAATGGCAATCATTAAAAAGTCAGGAAACAACAGGTGCTGGAGAGGATGTGGAGAAATAGGAACACTTTTACACTGTTGGTGGGATTGTAAACTAGTTCAACCATTATGGAAAACAGTATGGCGATTCCTCAAGGATCTAGAACTAGAAGTACCATATGACCCAGCCATCCCATTACTGGGTATATACTCAAAGGATTATAAATCATGCTGCTATAAAGACACATGCACACGTATGTTTATTGCAGCACTATTCACAACAGCAAAAACTTGGAATCAACCCAAATGTCCATCAGTGACAGATTGGATTAAGAAAATGTGGCACATATACACTATGGAATACTATGCAGCCATAAAAAAGGATGAGTTTGTGTCCTTTGTAGGGTCATGGATGCAGCTGGAAACCATCATTCTCAGCAAAATATCACAAGAACAGAAAACCAAACACTGCATGTTCTCATTCATAGGTGGGAACTGAACAATGAGATCACTTGGACTCGGGAAGGGGAACATCACGCACCAGGGCCTATCACGGGGAGGGTGGAGGGGGGAGGGATTGCATTGGGAATTATACCTGATGTAAATGACGAGTTGATGGGTGCTGACGAGTTGATGGGTGCAGCACACCAACATGGCACAAGTATACATATGTAACAAACCTGCATGTTATGCACATGTACCCTAGAACTTAAAGTATAATAATTTTGAAAAAAAAAAAAAAATTAGCCGGGTGTGGTGGCACATGCCTGTAATCCCAGCACTTTGGGAGGCCGAGGCAGGCAGATCACTTGAGCTCAGGAGTTCGAGACCAGCCTGGCCAACATGGTGAAGTCCCGTTTCCACTAAAAATAAAAAAAAAAGATTAGCCAGGCATGGTGGCATGTGCCTGTAATCCCAGCTATTCAGGAGGCTGAGGCAGGAGAATCGCTTGAACCCGGGAGGCAGAGGTTTCAGTGAGCTGAGATCATGCCACTGCACTCCAGTCTGGATGACAGAGTGAGACTCGGTCTCAAAAAAAAAAAAAGGAATTAGATCTGTATTATTGGTACTCTTTCAGCAGGAAACAAAACATAGTCTAATGACACTGAAAAAATTATAGATACTAGACCATTATTTATATTATTAAATTACCTTCAATCATAAATTTATTTTAACACAAAAATTTAGTAATGGGTTCTGAGTTTTTTCTTTTTGCAGAAATAATTATTCCATAACTAATAAAGCATAATGGGACATATGAGCTTCTTTCTTAAATAAAATTGTACCTACTCAATTATCCAAAATGGCTCTTAGCTAAACAAAAACAGTTCAAGAACCAATCCTTCTTTCAAATGGCTCACGGCTAAAATTTTCTGTTGTGCTCTGAGAACTTCCTGTTCTTTTTTAAACTTAGTAACAGATCACTTATTAAAAGTCTTATAACTCAGCAATCTCTACTAGGGGCCTTATTTGTCCATATTCACACAACTCTTGTAAGTACACAGTTTAAGAGCTGTGATGAGTACCTAACATTTTCATTACATAAGCTCAGACCTAAGACAAACACTACAACAGAAAAAAATAGACACAGCTGGCCAGGTGCAGTGGCTCACGCCCGTAATCCCAGCACTTTGGGAGGCTGAGGTGGGCGGATCACGAGGTAGGGAGATCAAAACCATCCTGGCTAACAGGGGGAAACACCATCTTTACTAAAAATAAAAAATAAAAAAATTAGCCAGGCATGGTGGTACACGCCTGTAGTCCCAGCTACTCAGAAGGCTGAGGCAGGAGAATCACCTGAACCTGGGAGACAGAGGTTGCAGTGAGCTGAGATCACACCACTGCACTCCAGCCTGGGTAACAACATAAGACTCCGTCTCAAAAAAAAAAAAGACAAGGCTATGAAGAGAAAATTTAGAGAAAATATACATGACTCTTAACTATATTAAAAATATTCAATCTTAGCAATAACTACAGAGGTGAAAATAAAAATATTAACTTTTATCACCTATCATGTTGGTAAAGATTTTAAAAATGATATTACTCAACCCTGGCAAGGTATACTGGCAAGCAAAGACATACTCTTACAACATAAAAATGTGACAGGGAAAATGTCACAGAGAGATCATTTCATCCATAGCTGTGTTTTTAGAATGGTTCTAAATACGAACAAAAGAAAAATTACACTTCCTATCCAAAAGGATCTGAATGTATCATCTTTGACAAGTCATACTTCAACAGTTCACCACTGATGACTCAAATTCCATACATAGGACAAGATTCTCATAATCTAACTGTCTTACAATACTGTACCTCATCACAAAAGGAAAACTTTGTTTTCCACATTTTTCTTTAATATTCAAACATTTAGGTTTTAAAGAATATGCAAGTAAACTAAAAATGTGTCTATTTGAAACAATTCCATAGGAAAGCAAAAGGGTAAAAATTTCCCCAAAATATGCATTAGATATATTATAAAGCCACAGAAATTAAAACAGTATATATAATAGTGCTAATACAGTACAAAGCAGATCCATAGACAAGAGACAAAAATGAACACAAGCATATACAGAAAACAAGTATAAGAAAGAAGTGACATTTCTAATAATTAGAAAAATGACTATTTAAACAGACACCTTAAGCGACCCAGCCATTGCATGCATAGGTATTTACTTAAGAGAAATGAAAGCCTATGTACACATAAAGAATTGTATACAAATGTTTATAGCCAGTTTACTTGTAATAGCCAAAACCCAGAAACATATATACTTTGTATGGGGGGGTTATCTACTTCTTTCAGCATAGTTTGAGATTAATTCACATCATGTATCAAGTCTGTTCTTTCTTGCCAAGTAGTGTTTCCATTGTATAGACATGGCACAAATTGTTTATCCATTCACCTGTTAATGGTCTTCTCAAAGTAAGGCTGTCTTTCATTCCTGGTTACGCATGAGAAAAGGCCCTAATCCTAACAAAGCCCCTTAATAGCTTCTGAAATTTTAGCTTCTCTCAGAAGTGAAGACATTTTAGTTTTAACTTGAATTATCTATAAATTCATTTTCATAATGTATAATAAATATCCTTGAGAGCAGAGATCTGTCTTATTCAGCCTTCTACTTACTACCAGTAGTATCCAGTACAGTGTCTTCTACACATCAGATGATCAAGAATGATGGTTCAAGTGTTTAACAAGAAAACCATTTTACAAAATTGTTTCTAGACCAACCAAGAACTCAAACAAAATCAGAAATGAAAAAGGAGACATTACAACTGATACTACAGAAATACAAAAGATCATCAGAGACTACTATGAACTACTATACACCAACAAACTGGAAAACCTAAAGGAAATGGACAAATTCTTGGACACTTACAACCTATCAAGATTGAATCAGGAAGAAATAGAAAACCTGAACAAATAACGAGTAATGAGATTGAATTAGTAACAACAAATCTAAAAAAGAAAAGCCCAGGATCTGATGGCTTCACTGCCAAAGTCTACTAAACTTACAAAGAATACCAATTCTCCTCAAACTATTCCAAAAAATAAAAGAGGAGGGAATTCTTCCTAACTCTTTCTGTGAAGCCCTGAAACTAAAACCAGACAAGGGCACAACATTAAAAAACAAAACAAAACAAAACAAAAAAATTATAGGCCATAGTTGAACATAGATGCAAAAGTCTTCAACAAAATACTATCAAACCAAATCCAACAGTACATCAAAAGGACAATATACCACAATCAAGTGGGATTTATCCCTGAGTCGTAAAGATAATTTACCATATGCAAATCAATAAACATGATATATCACATCAACATAATGAAAGACAAAAACCATATGATCATCTCAATAGGGGCAGAAAAAGCATTCAATAAAACTCAATATCCCTTCATGATAAAAATGCTCAACGAACTAGGCACAGAAAAAACATACCTCGGCCTGGCACAATGGCTCACATGTACAATCCCAGCACTTTGGGAGGCCAAGGCGGGCAGATCACTTGAGGTCAGGAGTCTGAGACCAGCCTGGCCAACATGGTGAAATCCCATCTCTACCAAAAATACAAAAAAAAAATTAGCCGGACATGGTGGCGCATGCCTGTAGTCCCAGCTACTTGGGAGGCTGAGGCAGAGAGTCACTTGAACTCAGGCGGCAGAGGTTGCAGTGAGTTGAGGTCGTGCCACTGCATTCCAGCCTGGGCAACAGAGCGAGACTCCATCTCAAAAATAAATAAATAAGTAAATAAAAATAAATGGAAAGAACATACCTCAACATAATAAAGGCCATATATGACAAATCCATAGCTAACATTATACTGAACAGAGAAAAGCTGAAAGCTTTTCCTGTTAAGAACTGAAACTAGACAAGGATGCCCACTTTCACCACTCTTATTCAATACTATACTGGAAGTCCTAGCCAAAGCAATCAGGTAAGAGAAGGAAATTAAAGGCATTCACACTGGAAAAGAGGAAGTCAAACTGTCCCTCTCTGCAGATGACATGATCTTATATTTAGAAAAACCAAATGACTCCTCTAAAAAAAAAAAAAAACCTCTTAAAACTGATGAGCAAATTCAGTAAAGCTGCAGGACACAAAATCAACACAAAAAATCAGTATAGCTTTCAATATACTAGCAACAAACTAGAAGAAAAAGAAATCAAGAAAGCAATGTTATTTCCAAAAACTAAAAACAAAAACCAAAACCCTAGGAATAAATTTTACCAAGGTGAAAGCCCTCTACAAGGTAAACTATAAAACATCGATGAAAGAAATTAAAGAGGACACAAAAAAATGGAAAGACATCCCATGTTCATGGATCAGAAGAATTAATATGGTGTAAATGACCATTCTACCAAAAACAATCTACAGATTCAATGCAATCTCTACCAAAATACCAATATTTTTCACAGAACTAGAACAAACAATTCTAAAATTTGCATGAAACTACAAAGAGCCTGAATAACCAAAGCAATCCTGAGCAAAAAGAACAGCTGGAGGCATCACACTACCTGACTTCAAAATATACAACAAGGCTATCATAACCAAAATGGCATAGTATTGGTATAAAAACAGACACATAGACAAGAATGGAACAGAACAGAGAACCCAGAAATAAATCCACTCACATCTTTATATCCAACTGGTTTTTGACAAAGGTGCCAAGAATGTATACTGGGGAAAGGACACCCTCTTCAATAAATGGTGTTGGGAGAACTAAATATCCACAAGAGTTTATGGCCAAGATCCCAAAAGCACAGTAAACAAAAGCAAAAATAGATAAATGGGACCGTATTAAACTAAAACGCTTCTGTACAGCAAAGAAAACCCTCAGCAGAAGAGACAACCTGATGAATGAGAGAAAACATTTACAAAATATTCATCTGACAAGTGACTAATATCCAGAATATAGAAGGAACTGAAACAACTCAATAGCAAAAAAAAAAAAAAAAAGCAATTAAAAACTGGACAAAGGACTTGAATAGGCATTTCTCAGAAGACAACATTCAAGTAAACAGGTATATGAAAAAATGCTAATCACTAATCATCAGTGAAATGCAAATCTAAACCATAGTAAGATATCTTACCCCAGCTAGAACCTCTATTATTAAAAAGACAGGAAATAACAGATGCTGGTGAGAAAAGGGAACTCTTATACACTGCTGGCGGGAATGTAAATTAGCAAAACAAACCTAAAGAAACCAGTATGGAGATTTCTCAAAAAGTAAAATTAGAACTACCATTAAGACCCAGCAATCTCACTATTGGGTATCTATCCAAAGAAGAACTCAGTGTATCAAAAGGACACTCTCACTCATATGTTCCTCACAGTACTATTCACAATAGCAAAGACATGGAATCAACCTAAATGCCCAGCAACAGATAAATGGATAAAGTGTGCTATACATAAACAATAATACTATTTGGCCATAATGAAATAATGTCATTTGCAGCAACATGCATAGAAACGGAGATTATTATTTTAAGTGAAATAGGCCAGGCAAAGAAAGACAAATACTGCATGTCCTCACTCATATGTGGGAGCTAAAAAACTTGATCTCATGGACACAGAGAATAGAACAATAGGTAACAGAGACTGGGAAGGGGAGGGAGAGGGGGGATAAAGAGAGCAGAGAGACAAAGACTACAAGAAGTATAGTCACCTTAGTCCGCTATCCAACACTGGAACTTATTTCTTATGTACCCAAACATACAGTTAGATAGAAGAAATAAGTTCCAATGTTTGATAGCAGACAAAGGTGACTATACTTAGCAATAATAATATGTACATTTCAAAGTGATTAGAAGAGAGGGCTTGAAATGATACCAACATATAAAAATGATAAACATTCTAGGTGATGGATACCCCAATTACCCTGCCTTGATCATTATATATTCTTTGTATGTAACAAACACATGTACACCATAAATATGTAAATTATTGTATATCAATAAAAAGGGAAAAAAGTGAGTAATAGCGATTTCTCAAAATACATAGGAGTAGCCAACAGGTATATAAAAAAATGCCCAACACCACTAATTATCAGGGAAATGCAAATCAAAACCACAATGATATCATCCTACCCAGTCAGAATAGCTATTATCAAAAAGACAAAAACTAACAGATGCTGGCAAGGATGCAGAGTAAAAGGAGCTCTCATACACTGTAGGTGGGAATGTAACTTAGTACAGCCATTATGGAAAATAGTATGGAGATTTTTCAAAAAATTAAACACAGAACTACCGTAAGATCCAGCAATATCACCACTGGTATTTATTCAAAGGACAGAAAATCAGTATATCAAAAGGATACATGCATTTTTATGTTCACTGCAGCACTACTCACAACAGCCAAAATATGGAATCAACCTGTCTCCATCACATATGAATTGACAAAGAAAATGCGGTATATTTACACAGTGGAGTACTATTTGGCCATAAAAAAGAATGCAATCAGCTGGGCACGGTGGCTCACGCCTGTAATCCCAGCACTTTGGGAGGCCGAGGTGGGCAGATCACCTGAGGTTGGGAGTTCGAGACCAGTCTGACCAACATGGAGAAACCCCGTCTCTACTAAAAACACAAAATTAGCCGGGTATGGTGGTGCATGCCTGTAATCCCAGCTATTTGGAAGGCTGACGCAGGAAAATCGCTTGAACCCGGGAGGCAGAGGTTGCAGTGAGCCAAGATTGCACCATTGCACTCTAGCCAGGGCAACAAGAGCGAAACTCCGACTCAAAAAAGAAAAAAAGAAAAAGGATGGAATCATGTCACTTATAGCAACATGGATTAAACCAAAGGTCATTATCTTAAGTAACATAAGCCAGACACAGAAAGACAAAATCTCATGTCCCATATGTATGAACTGAAAAAATTTATTTCATAGAGGTAGAAAGTAGAATGATAGTTAACAGAGGCTGGGAAGGACTTGGGGGAGGAGGAAGATAAAGAGAGGTTGGTTAATGGGTACTAATGGGTAGGAACATACAGTGAGATAGAGGAATATGTTCTAATGTCCGATAGTAGAGTAGGGTGACTACAGCTAACAACAATGTACTGTACACTTCAAAATAGCTACAAGTGAGGAGTTGAAATGTTCTCAACACATAGAAATGATAAATGCTAGTGATGATAGATAGCCTAAATACTTTAGCTTGGTCATTAACATTCTATGCATGTAAAAATATCACATGTATCCTGTAAATATGTACAAACAGCATGTATCAATAACAAAATTTAATTATTTACTGAAACTCAAATTCTCCACTTTTTGAATTATCATAGTTTTTCTAGACCAGTTTACTTCCATTGCCCAGGGCCTCTCGTGTTCCTCTCCCACTAATAAGAGAACATGTGATGACTAAATACAAAACAACTAGTAAAAGTTTAAATATAATTAGTAAATTTGTGGAAATAAATCTTACGTACTCAAAGGCCAAATATATATAATATAAAAAATTAGTTATACTCAGCTTCCAATTCCTCTTAAGTCAGGCTCCCTCCCTCTAAAGAGGTTCTACAAGTCAGGGAGGTTAAATGTGAGAAGTAAACATAAAACTGTAAAAACCCTTGGGGAGGCACAAGCTCGCTTTTGTAAATGAAGGGAGGGCAGTGTAGCAATCCAGGGTTGAAAAGTACAGGGCACACCACTTGAGGCGGGGGTGGGGTGGGTAGGATGAAAGAGAGTTTTTCAGAAATGTTCTTATCTGTCTTCAGTCTCCTCTGAGGCAAAAAAGCAACACCAACCTAGTGCTGAAGGTAACATCAGAGCAGCAGTCTAGTCAGGTTGAGGTGGCAGCCCTGATCTGTTTGTTCAATGAACTTCCATGAGGGTCTGTGCTTGATAAACAGAAAGTTCCTGATGAATTTACTGCAAGGTGTCCTGAGAGACAAGGTAAACAGAAACTATCTGAAATAATGTACATGGAAAATATAGTCAAAATAAAAATATTAAGAGATGGGTCAGGCGCGGTGGATCACGCCTATAAGTCCAGCACTCTGGGAGGCTGGGGCAGGCGGATCTCTTGAGGTCAGCAGTTTGAGATCAACCTGGGCAACATGGTGAAACCATGTCTCTACTAAGAGTATAAAAATTAGCCGGGTTTGGTGGTGGGTGCCTGTAATCCCATCTACTAGGGAGGCTGAGGCACGAGAATCACTTGAACCCGGGAGGTGGAGGTTGCAGTGAGCCGAGATCATGCCACTGCACTCCAGCTTGGGTGACAGACTGAGACTCCATCTCAAAAATAAATAAATAAATAAATAAATAAATAAATAAAATTAAGTTAAGAGATGGGTAAATGAGTGAATGGATATAGCTGAAAAATGTTTTAATAAGTTAGAATATTAGGCTAAGAAACTCCTAGAACACGCATGGAAAGGGTAAAAAGCTTAAAAACAGAAAAAAGCCACACGGTGCTGTATGTCTATAGTCCTAGCTACAGCCAGGAGGCTGAGGCAAGAGGATCACTTGAGCCCAGCAGTTTGAGGCACAGTGCACTATTACCATGCCTGTGAATAGCCACTGCGTTTCAGCTTGGGCAATATAATGAGACCCCGTATCTTAAAAACAAAACAAAAAAAGGTATAGTGATATGAAAGATATTTACATAACAGAAGACCCAGAGGAAGACACATAAACTAAACAGATTCAAAGAACTATTTGAATGACTGGTAATTTTCCAGAATTGGAGAAAAATATCATATTGAACAGGTTTTGAATGCAAAAGAGGACAGAGGACAAATAAAACACACACACCTGTATATACAACAACTAGATACATTATAATGAAATTTAAGAAAATCAAAGATAAAAAGAAAATTCTAAGAGCTTCCAACAAGGAAGAGTAGGTCACCTATAAAGGGGTACGATCAGAATGTCATCAAATATCTCATCAGCAACCTGGGATTTAAGAACAAGTAATCCATATTATGCACCACATGCCTGTACCAAAATATCTCACATATTCCATAAATATATACATCTACTTCACATTCACAAAATTTTTTTAAAAAAAGGTAGTAAATCTTAATTAACATTACCCAGATGGAGTAACTTTAAAGTGCTAATGGAAAGCACTTTGAACTAAAAAGTGTATATATCCAGAAAAACTATCATCAAAAGTAAAGATGTTTTAAGCACATAAAATCTCAGAAGGTCTGCCTCATAAAAGCCCTCTTTGAAAATAAAGGAAGTACAGGATGAATATCCCTAATCCAACAATCCCAAATCTAAAACTTTTCCAGTGTCAACAGTATGCTCAAAGAAGCATTTTGGATTTTTGGATTAGGAATGTTCAGCTATTAAGTATAATACAAATATTCCCAAATCTGAAAAAACCTGAAATCTGAAACACTTCTGGTCCCAAGCATTCATTTCTTTCTCTCTCTCTTTTTGTTTTTTTTTTTTTGAGACAGGGTCTCACTCTGTTGCCCAGGCTGGAGTTCAGTGGCATGATCATGGCTCACTGGAGCCTTGAGTTCCCAGGCTCAAACGATCCTCCTACCTTAGCCTCCCGAATAGCTGGGACTACAGGTATGTACCACTACACACGGATAATTTTTTAGTTTTTTGTAGAGACAGGGTATCACTGTGTTGCCCAGCTGTTCTTTAACTCCGGGGCTGAAGCAATTCTCCTGCCTCAGCCTCAGAAAGTGCTGGATTACAGGCACCAGCCACCACACCTGGCCCCAAGCATTTAGGAAAGGGATACTCAACCTGTACTCCCAATAATAATATTATGAGATACATGAAAGCTAAATACACAACTTAGTAAAACTTAATTTTTTTTTTTTTTGAGACAGGGTCTCACTGTGTTGCCCAGGCTGGAGTGCAGTGGTGCAATCACGACTGACTGTAGCCTCAAGCTCCCAGGCTCAAGCAATTCTCCCACCTCAGCCTTCCGAGTAGCTGGGACCACAGGCACCTGCCACCACGCCTGGCTTATTTTTTTATTTTTTGTAGAGATCTCAGTAAGTTACCCAGGCTGGTCTTGAACTCCTTCCTGGGTTTAAGAAATCCTCCTGCGTCAGCCTCCCAAAGTGCTGAGATTACAGCACACATGAGAGCCACCACACCTGGCCCTAATATTATCTTTAAAAATGAGACAAAAAACAACCATAACAATCCAGGACCAAATCTAGAGCAGGGCTATACAACTTTCTGAAATGGCTAAAATATTTACTTGTGCTGTCCAATATGCTAGCCACCAGTCATATGTGGCTATAGAACACATGAAATGTGGCTAATGTGACCAAGGAACTAATTTTTAAATTTTACTTAAGCTAAACAGCCTCTAAGACTACTGGCTATCATATTAACACAGATCCAGAGCAGGGGTCAGCAAATTTCCTCAAGGGACAAACGGTGAATACACAGGCTGATGGACCATGTGGCCTGTTGCATCTATTCATGTAGCACAAAATTAGCCACAGACAGACAAATGGCAAGGCTGTGTTCCAATAAAACTTTATTTTAAAACAGGATGTCAACATGAGACACAGTTTGCCAACACCTCATCTAGATGATATAAACACAGTGGCAAGGCAAGCAGCAAGTGGAAGAGAGGGAGAGAAGACAACCAGAAGGTAGCCAGAGTGTGCAATGGTACTTATGTTGAAGACAGTGGGTGACATAAAGATACTTACAACAACAATAAAAGAAACCAAACATATAAATCTAAGCATAGATTGGTTTGGGATAATGACCAAAATTATAACTGAAACACAGTGAAATGTGTACATTTCAAACGAGAAAAAGAAAATTCAACCTATTAAATGAAAGAGAGAGAGAAAAAAAGAAGACAAACTCTGGGATTGGATTTTTAAAAGATCCAGAAATAGGAGGTCTGTAAACAGAGTCTAAATACAATAGGATATAAAAATGCTGAAAATAGGCTGGGCACGGTGGTTCATGCCTGTAATCCCAGCACTCTGGGAAGCTGAGGCAGGCGAATTACTTGACGCCAGGAGTTTGAGACCAGCCTGGTCAACATGGCAAAACTCCATCTCTACTAAAAAATACAAAAATTAGCAGGGTGTGGTGGCACACGCCTGTAATCCCAGCTACTCAGGATAGCTGAGGCATGAGAATCATTGGAACCTGGGAGGCAGAGGCTGCAGTGCAGTGAGCTGAGATCATGCCACTATACTCCAGCCTGGGCAACACAGCAAGGCTCTGTCTCAAAAAAAAGGTGAAAATAAATGAGTGGGAAAAAATATGACAGGCAAATATGAATCAAAAGCTTGATAGTAATTATAAAATCAGGAAAAACAGAATTAAAGAGAAACATATGTGAAGAACAAAGTAGGGTACTAGATACTGAGGAACAGATCAAGAAGAAATAGCAATCATAAACATTTATGCTTTTAACAATGTATCTTTCAAGTAAATAAAGCAACACCAAGACAATCCAATGGGGAAAGAACAGTCTATTCAACAAACGGTGCTGGAACAACTAGACACGCATATGCAAAAGAATGAAGTTGGGCCCTTACCTTACCTTGCAAAAAATAACTTAAAATGGAGTTAATCTAAATGTTTACATTTAGCTAAAACTATAAAACTCTTAGAAGAAAACATCCAAGTAAATCTTTGTGACCTTAAATTAGACACACGACAAAATCTGTGTAGCTAAAACCAAAAGTCCAAATGACAAAAAAAAACAAAAACAAAAACAAAAAGAAACCTATTAGGCTGGGCACAGTGGCTCACGCCTGTAATCCTAGCACTTTGGGAGGCTGAGGCGGGCAGATCATGAAGTCAGGAGCTCAAGACCAACCTGCCTAACAGAGTGAAACCCTGTCTCTACTAAAAACACAAAAATTAGCCAGGCACAGTGGTGCACACCTGTAGTCCCAGGTACTTGAGAGACTGCGGCAGGAGAATCACTTGAACCCAGGAAGCAGAGGTTGCGGTGAGCTGTGATTGTGCCACTGCACTCCAGCCTGGGCAACACAGCGAGACTCCGTTTCAAAAGAAAAAAAAATTTATTTCAAATCTCATCAAAATAAATTGTTGCTTCAAAAGCCATCAAGAAAGTGACAAATAGGCTGGGTGTAGTGGCTCACGTCTGTAATCCCAGCACTTTGGGAGGCTGACGTGGGCAGATCATGATGTCAGGAATTCAAGAACAGCTTGGCCAACAGAGTGAAACCCTGTCTCTACTAAAAATACAAAAATTTGCCAGGCACAGTGGTGCGCACCTGTAGTCCCAGCTACTTGAGAGACTGAGGCAGGAGAATCACTTGAACCCGGGAAGCAGAGGTTGCAGTGAGCTGAGATCGCGCCATTGCAGTCCAGCCTGGGCAACACAGTGAGACTCCGTCTCAAAAAAAAACAAAAAAAAAATTATTTCAAATCTCATCAAAATAAATTGTTGCTTCAAAAGCCATCAGGAAAGTGACAAATTAGGCTGGGTGTGTGGCTCACGCCTGTAATCCCAACACTTTGGGAGGCCAAGGCACGCAGATCACCTGAGGTCGGGAGTTCGAGACCAGCCTGACCAACATTGAGAAACCCTGTATCTACTAAAAATACACAATTACCCCGGCATGGTTGCGCATGCCTGTAATCCCAGCTATTTGGGAGAATCACTTGAACCCAGGAGGTGGTGGTGGAGGTGAGCCAAGATTGTGCCACTGCACTCCAGCCTCAGTAACAAAAGCAAAACTCCGTCTCAAAAAAAATAAAAAAAGGAAAGTGACAACCCACAGAATGGGAAAAAACACAGTCGACTCTTGAACAATACAAGTTTGAACTGCATAGGTACATCTCTATGTAGATTTTAAGTAAAAGTTACACCCAGTGTGCCTGCCTCACCTTTCACCTCCTCCACCTCTTCTGTCTCTGGCACTCAGAAACAGTAAGACCAATCCCTCCTT